AACAAAAGAAAGAAAAAAAAAAAAAAAAAAAAAAAAAAAAAAAAAAAAAATTACAAACAGCCTCTCGGTCCCCATTATGTTCTTAACCCAATGACGCCGGGTGTAAAAAAAAAAAAATCTACGCTCTAGCAATCACAGGGTCACTGCGCTTTGGCACACCGCTGCGGCATACTTCTGCACGCCAGCTTTCGAGCAGTTTGTTTTCACGCCAATCAGCGTCACCCGGCACCAAGGGGTTAAGTTGGGGACTTACTGTAAGAGAAAACACACACACACACACACACACACACACACACACACACACACACAAAAAAATACAAACCCTGAGGCCAAGAGGTCTGTGGTTGGATTCCAGGCACAGATGAACACTTCCGATTCATGACCTCTCAATATTGTTGCCTTGTTGAGGGGGATCTCCACGCTGTTGTCAACATCCATGTTTTCTCCTGTGGTCCCTGAAATAGTTATTTATTATTTGAGTTCCAATGATTGCTTGCTACTCTTTAATTGAAAAAAAAATAAAAAAAAAAATAAATTTTAAGAAACACCATATCTATCTTCTGACAATATGGACATTACAGTTAGCAATGGCAGAAAAGTATCTCTGTTAATCTTTACATTATTCCACGATAAGAAGTCATATAAGGGACGATTTCCTCCATACTTTAATTTTTTTCATCAAAGGTTTATATCTGTTCCGCAAAAAACAGCCAAACAAAAAATATGATTATCTCCAAACTCCGACAAAGAAAAAACAAAACTAAGAACCTGAAATGCGCCTCACCTTCATCCCCGTTGGTGCTGGGAATTTCTGTTTTGACTACAGCTTTTTGTTGTTGGTTTTGCTGTTGTCTGGAGGCAACGACATCTGGCATCACCGCATCAATGAGGGAGAGGCTGTCAATGAGTCTCTCGGAGCCATCCTGTTGCGAAGACAAAGATTAGGATTCACTACTGTGTAGCTTTAAACACATGAACATTATGAATTCCAACAACTTACACATAACCTTAAGTACTGGTATTTCTGAATTAGGAATAGAAGCTCTTGTAAACTTGTCTGGAGCTACACATATACACAAATGAAATATAATAATGTTATTACTTTTGAAGATAATAAAAACTTGAAGAACGGGAAAAAAGGAAATAAATAAAATAAAGATAAACTAAAACATATAATAAGCGAATAGATAAATAAATAATCTTGACCACCAAAATTAGCAAAAGCAGAGCCAAGATATGAATAACAAACCTCAGAGCATCAAGGAAGGTTTGGCTAATAACAACCACTAAATACTCACCTCCCCTATACTAATTTCTGCCTCTGTGTACTGTAATCCCTTCTGTATTATACTGAGGAGAGCTGCAGGTGGAACCAGGGCGCCGTTGATATTCGACTGTGATATGTGAGACTCGATACCAAATACGTACGCTGCATGGTAGAATCCTGTGGGTTGGAATAAACGCAGTGAGAATAGCAAGAGGATAAAGCAATAAAGCACACCTTAATAATGGACACATCACATTTAGTTTTATCTTTCTTTAAGAGACTTCTTAGAGCAAATCTACTGTAAGGGGGGAGGGGAGATTTATGAAGTACAAATATAACAGACTGTCACTGAACTAAATCTGTCTCTCTCTCTCTCTGTGTAATTGTATGCTCCCTAAAGACAAACAAGGAACAATTTTTTTTTCAACTTTTGAGGAACTTACCTGATTCCTGTAGGTATCTATATACCAGGAAATTCACTTCGTCACTTGTAAAACTCATTGTGGAATCTGCAAACAAGGAGCAAAATTTTAGTCACTTCTATATGATTTTTTTTTTTTTTTTAAGAAAATAAAGTATCATAAACTAACCACAAACTCAAGAATGATGATTATTGATGATTATTGATGATGATGATGATGATGATGATGATGATGATGATGATGATGATGATGATGATGATGATGATGATGATAATGATAATGATAATGATAATGATAATGATAATGATAATGATGATGATGATGATGATGATGATGATGATGATGATGATGATGATGATGATGATGATGATGATGATAATGATAATGATAATGATAATGATGATGATGATAGTAATAATAATAATAAGCATTATCATCATCAATATAATTAACTTAACACCATCAACTTATGCCTATGTGGGGGATTTCTGGCTTACATCAGTAATGGCTGTTTATCAGTTTCCTGAAGTCAATGATTCATCTAAATTATCTGTTTTGATGGGAATTTCCACAGAAGAACTCATTCTATGTGGCTAATCTTTCTTCCCAGGGACTACTTTTTTGCATGTACTTGAAGCGCTTTGGCACACTGCCGCAGTGTACAGCTGTACTCTGCAGACCAAGCGGTTTTTGGCCTGGCAAAAACAGGTTAAAATAATAGTTGCTTAACCCCTACAATCCTGATGGCTTGGCCATCACATTGAAAAAAAAAAATGGCTTTCAAGGGTGGGTGATGTGAACACATCGACATAGAAAAATTTGGCTGGGGGACAGGATGACAGTAACTTGCTGTCATGAGAATTATGAATGAAGGCCAGGGTGACAGAAAGGACTTGCCACAAGTACATAAAGGTCTTGGACGGCATTTAGACTCTGAGGGTATTTAGAAAGGGGTTCTAATCAGTAAACACATGTGGAATGTATCATCCATGAGCCATGACTTGAAGAGTTCCAGCTCCTGGGAGGACACTATTTCCATGCTCAAGATCCTATTCCTGGCCGACACGACTGGTAGCGCAGGTTATAATAAAGACACATATAAGAAAATATTACTTATTGTTACTTTTATTTCACTGAGTGTGGCTTGCCTATGGAGATGATAATGGAGTCTGTTTAAGGAGACAGTCTATTACCATCTGGTTCCCATCCAATGACAAACACTGACACAGGAAAATGGAGAAGAAAAAAACTTTGTCAGGAGAAGAGATAATAACATTGCAAAAGGGAGGCAAGGAGTCTTGCCACCGCACATGCGTGTTCGTGCACACCTGGCCTGCAAGCAACACACCAGTAAGAGTAGCCACTCAAGTAAGCCTAATGCCCGGACTTTGGGTCACGTGCAGTCAGAAAAGCACCCAAAATCAAAGGGTTAATATAGATATATTTTTGAAATGGTAGTTCCTTTGACATTCACTGCTAACTAATGAACTACTGACTAATGTATTTCTGTTTTAGCCAATTTCCATTCAGTGAAAAATAGCCACATGTCAGAAAAGGTAGCTCCTGACATTTAACCATCCTTGCCAGGATATCCAAACACATTATGGTAGACCAGCTCTCATGCCATTACGACATATTTTTGTCATGAGCAGTTAAGCCTGCTCCTAGTTATCCTAGTTGTGCAGTTATGCACTTGCCCTCCCGGGCTGCATTCACTGAGACTGTAAAGATGAGCAACTTAAGCAAAAATGGGTGATGGCACCTTCGGAAGGCATTTGCATATATATTGCCTTTGAAGAACTTTGTCTTGGTTTGTATCATTCTATCATTTCATAAAGGTTTTATAACCCAATTCTGCCCCTACCCAGTTTGGAAACACATGAGGGCAAGTTATTTTTAAATTTTCAGTTCTCCAATGACTTTTTTGCATTCTGTAATGTCTCTTATGGACAAAACATTACTTATACATTGTTTCTATGCTCTTAAAATGGGTTGTCATTGATGGCACAACCTAGTATGGCTCAGTATAACTAATAAATCTTATAGATTGTTCAGTTCATAAAGGAATAGCCTGGGCCAATCCTCACTGGGTGGTAAACAGGCACTTCGATAACTTTGCATTGCCAACAAATAGGAAAGGGAGAACTGCACAGCGAAAACAGGAAAGTGTGCCTCCAGCCGTGCGCAACATATTATGTGTGCACCACAAAGTTTCCAGTTTGGGCCACTCCTTCCAACTACATACTCTCCCACATTTCCAGTGAGCAATAACCTCTGCGTAGTGAATTCAACAGACACCTAAACACGTAAACCAGACTCCATTCAATGACAAAAACCAATCCCGACATGAGTTACCAGAAGTGTCCTGACCCGAGCGAGCGACACCGCCTCCCGGGACGGCGCAGAGCCGAGACCTTCCCCGAGACCCGCGAGGCAGCCGCCCCGCCCACTGGCCGCGGAGGGCGAGGCGCCCAAAGGCAGGCAACGAACCCAAGAAGAGGAAGCCCTACTTATCGCCGCGAAACAGCGGCTCCGTCATCAAGCTCCACTAATATTTCTTTCCACTACTGCCGCCGCCGCTGGCTGTCCCATATTCACCTGCGGCGGAAAATCCCTCGAAGCCTCCCCTTCTCGCCAGCTAATTCATTCTCCTGCCTTAAAATCACAAAAAATCACAATAACCATCTCGAGGAGCGTCCGACCTCCGTCAGGATGCCAAGTCCGGAAGCTGCATTTCCTTTTTTATGATCTTATTATTAGAGTACTGATGGCCGAGACATAAACCTCCGGATTCCGCGACGAGGCCTAGCGTCCCCAATGGAGGAAAATACTTACTACACTACAACAAAGTATTCTTTCAGATATTCATCATCGCAGGACCTCTTGGTAAACTTGTGTCACGGACCCGCAGCCAAAACAAATTTCAAGCGAGAGTCTTTCGTCGTCGAGCCTTCATTTCTAATTTAAATTTACGAAAATGCAAAGATTGTCTTATGAATATTTTGATCATTATTCTATATATTCATTATTGGTGATTTGTCTATTTTTGCTCCGTCCGAAGGAGGATTGAAAGGAAAATGGAAAGTCATTTGATTGATGGCGTCTCAATGCATTTCTAAATAATTTTCATAATTATATTGAATTGTCTTTTTAAATAATTTTAGTGCATTAATTTGCTATTCGTATGATGTTTATGTCTACTGGGTCTGAAAACTAAGAAAAAATACATATAATTTTTTGTTTTCTGCTTTTGACCTTGGCCTTAGCTTTATTTTTTCTCACTAACAGGTGTGAAACAAATACTTAATTAT